TCATCGCCATGCCCAAGCTCATGTGATTCCTGGCCCACCTGGACCTCCAGGGCCACCAGGATTACCAGGAGCACCTGCACCTCCAGCACCGCCAGCAATCTGTCCTCCAGGACCACCTGGTGCTCGCGGACAGGACGGACGACACGGACCACGTGGGCCACAGGTAGTGTGACTTTTATGTTGTGCATAGTATGCTTGATAGATGTTGTATAGTTGTGGTGAACTGCCTGCACGCGCATGACTTTTTTTAGTTTTCGGTTGTTTCCTTTACAAGACTATATGGTCAGACAAGTATTGCAAGCTTCTAAGGATCCTTTCAAGGGTTTTCGAACCCCAAAGAATGGGTCTATCAATACTGGCCATGGTTCGCGCGCCGTCAGCTACCACACTAGGCAAGTCAAGGTTTTACTGTTTTGGGCTGTTGATGGAACCCAACCAGCGTGGGAGGATAATGGGACTAAGTCATATCGCAGGTGTAGGCACGAGCATGGCTGTGTACATGTGTTTGCGGATGCTGGAAGTGTCCAAGGGGACAGGGCTCGACGCGGAGGCGGCAAACTTATTGTTGTCGCCTCTCCGCTTCAAGATTTGGTGGAGAACGGGTTGGCATCGCGCCAAACCCAGCCCCTCAGCAGCAGCAAACTTACTTCCCATTTGTCTTCCACGCAAGATAGCTTCACACGAAAACGAATTTGAGTATAACCTTGGAAAAAACATGGAATTTTCCGTTTGTTCCTTTATTCAAGTTCCCCAAGTCGCCATCACCATTATGATTTAGGGCGAGAAAGGCGATCGAGGTGAACCGGGAGTTGCAGGACCTCGAGGACTTCCTGGAATACCTGGAGGAGCGGCTGTTTCCGGAGGAAAGGTTCGTAGTCTTCGTTCAGAAGAAAATGGGGATTCTTTAGTTTATTTTGTTCCCTTTTAGGTCGTAATGGGACCACCCGGACCGCCAGGTAGAGATGGAGTGAACGGCGAGAAAGGAGAAAAGGTGAGTCCGTTGACATTTCGCCAGAGCTAAATTCCGAATCAGGGCCGCTAACAAGGTTACATTTTGTGTTTCATAAGCGCAAAGCGTTTGTTGGTATCCTGGTCGACCTGACCAGATATTAAGACCCAGCTGGCTCACGGGTATGTGACAAGACAATCGTAATACGCCGCGCTGGTGGGCGTGACGAACGACGCAGCGCACGGCGGAGTTGTCCTGCTTGGTCTTGTGGATTCGAGTGTCAAAGGAACGCGAACAAAATACTATATCGTCCGTGATAGAATTTCGCTGCTTTGGTCGAAAAACTGATGCACATGAGCTCCTGCTGCCGCACGATAAGCCGCATGCGACGACGCGGCAAATTACGATTGTCTTGTCCGTCTTCCCTTGGCTCACTATGCTCAATATTCGTCCATTGATAGTGTATTGATTAATTATTGTCATATGTGTGGCTGTTGCTAACCCGACTAACCCCAAAGGTGTTAACTCGTTGTTTCAGGGTGAAATGGGAGCGCCGGGTCCAATGGGACCACCAGGTCCCGAAGGAATGTCCGGCAAGAGAGGACGACGAGTAAGCATAACTATTCTTAACTTCGTAGCGATAGTTAGTGCACCTTCGTTTCAACCACCTGAAGTCGTGTCGTGCGACGTCAGTTGACATGCATGCGTAGCGTATGCGTTCGCGGTCGTTGGTATATGTAACGTGTGCCTGGCTTAAATATGTGAATAATAGTGTTGTATGGTGGTGGTGTTGAGTTGTGGGTGTGTGATTTTAACATCAACAGCCGCTTGGTGAGTTTTGATACTGGAATTTTTCTTGCAAATTTTGTGTTCCTTACAAAATGCAGTTCTATTTCGGTTTGGTTTGCTGTGACATCGGTTTGGTTTGCTGTGACACTTAGTCCTGGGCACATGTGGTTAAAGCGCAGGGCCAATTGCTGGCAGCATGCCCGCAGATATTTCCGGAAGAATTTCATCTACAAACTGGTTGATGGATTATTAGCCGTCGAATCGCTACAGTTTTGTTCGCCGCGAATGATGGTATGTGTCAAGGGGTGTGGGTCTGATGCGCCGCCAATCCATTTTCCACCAACTGCAAGTGCCTGGTTCAGCAGTAGGTGGAGAATGGGTTGGCGCCGTGCCAAACCCGTCTTCTTGACAGGCCCCAACATTCGCAGCGGACAAGACAGCATTTTCCTTCGCGCCATTCCATGCTCTTGTCGTCAGTATCTTCAATCGGTCAGAGCTTTGGGGGGATGGGGCTTTTCAGCGGGGAAATAGAAAAATATCCAAGTAACTCTTACTTATGAGCGTGGCCGGCTTAAGAGTATGCAGACTGTTGAAGACAGGGTACAGCATCGTGATGTGTGAAATGGTGGTGTAGGTACGACCCCCCTCCGCGAGAGGGTGTCAGTACGACCCCCCCCCACCTAAGTGGCGGTCCCCCACCCCTTCCCCGACACCTACACACCAATTTCTCAAATTTTCCAGTTCAATTTTAACCCAAAAATTTTCCGTCGAGGGAGGGGGGAAGGAGTACAGGAGGAATACACATGAAACAGGCAAAATCACGCGAAAAGTCAACAACCAGGGAAAAATTTGTTCCCAGCGCAGCATATCTCTCTCAAACGCACAAACGACCACCCCTCTCTCTCGACGCCCAAATACAACCCCCCCCTCCCCAGCGGAAAAACACGGTCCTTCATGTGTTTCACACAACGGTTGAAGAAAAGGTTGATGACACTTCCTGCGCTCGACCAATTCTTAGGCGTCCTTTTTGAAGAAGTGTGGTCCACAGCCTCTCGGGCTGTCCCATTTCCCAGCTTAAGAGTAAGCAACGAAGACGCAGTGGGCCCCCAAAAGTGGCAGTTCTGACGCCTCCCTAGCCGTACCGCTCCGCAAAGCTCAAAAACCATTTTCTGCCA